AGGTAATAACCAACACGTTGAATTGGACCCGGAAGCAAACTGGTACCCAATGCAGCTCGTGGAGCAATGGTGTTACATGGGCCTTTCTCGGGACTCCAAAAATAGCCCATGTGGCCGCATTCTGGACCAGCTGTAGCTTCCGGATACTCTTCAAGGGTAGCCCCATGTAGAGCGCATTGCAGTAGTCTATTATCACTTTCCCTGTCAAATAGTTGCTCCAAATGTTTCTTCTTCCAGTAAAACATCTCACATTCTCCAAGAAGGAAGGTGCTTTAGTAATATTTGGGAACAATTTTGCTATTTTTGGAAACCTGAAGGGTGCTTTATGCCTAAAATAGTGGCTGCCATTTTGATGCATATTTGTGAAGTCATTGTCTTTTGGACCCTGCTTGATTTATAGAGAATTAATTGATTATGACTCTGCATTTTGATGCTCCATAAGTCATGGGCAGTAGAGACAAACTCTCTCAGTAGCAGGAGCTTCCCAGTATCCTTTTAATCACTGATGGGAACAAGCCCGTATAAGAAAGTAGGAGCCCAGCAAAAGACATTGTAAGGGCAGAACAGAGAAGATCGTAGTGCAAATGCTGCATGAGTAGTAGATATCTTTTATATTACTAGTTTTAGAGTATTTTTCCTTTCATTTTGGAGCAAACAGATACAGAAATAGACTTGATCAAACAACCTTTTTGGTAAATAGATTTACAACAGATTGAACTCAAAAGAAAACAGGACAATTATGTTGTTCTCTCTCTCTCTCTCTCTCTCTTATAATCATCCCTAGACTTTACTTTTCCTAGCCAGCAAAGTGTAGTGGTATTTAGTAGTAGAAATTATCCAAATACTGTTTTCAAGCAGCTGGAGGTTACCTCAGCCCTCAAAGTGGATTCTTTCTACTCAATATTTTGGCAGAATTTCTCTCTACTGCATCCATCATTAAAGAGGACTCCCTACACTCTTCCTAGCTTTTTGTATGATCATCTTGCCCTTTCTTGTCTCTCTTCTCAATTCTTAACAGCATTTATAGTGTCTTACTATGGAATGAGAAAGGATTTCTCATTGAAGTGTATAATGCTTAGATTTCTTGCTTACCGATCCTGGAGACCTAATCCTTGAAGACTCACATGAATATTTGTGAAAAATCCAGTTCAGCATAGTTTATCTGGAAAAAAGCAAACTCCTGGGGCTGCACAGCATTTCTTCGTTTAGTGGGCATACTTGCATACTGCCAAATCAGCAAGGATTCCTGGCCATTTAAGGTAATAAGCACAAACATAACAAATCCAATAAAATACAAACACAACCCTCCAAAAAACCAGATCGGTGATAAAAAGGACATAAAAATAAGGATAACAATAATAAGTGCCTGCCTCATCCAACAGCAATGGCTTAGGCACTGAGTCTCCAGACTATGAATATTACACTGATAATATAGAACATGTACTTTAGATCGTATTCCAGATGGTGGAATTACTGAGTTGTTTATGTTTGGCAATGACTTTGTCATTTTTCAACAGCTATTTTATGAGGAATCTCCATTAATATTCTTCCTGTATATAAATCCCCATATACATTAAAAGTATTATTTATTTATTTATTTATTTATTTATTTATTTATTTATTTATTTATAATTTAGATTTATATGGCTGCCCATCTCAACATTGACTCTGGGTGGCATACAATTAAAACCAATATAATACCTACAATACAGACAAAATAAATATAACATACACCTAAATATCACAGGGGGAGTAACATACCATAGCTGAGGCAAACACTGCACATTGAATGGGCACACCACCAAGCTATCCCAGAACTTTGGAGTGGGGTAGGAAGCCAGTTTTTATAATATCATCTAAAGACTTGTAGGGTTGGGACAGTCTGAACCTCCAGGGAGATGTTGTTCTAGAAGGAAAGTGCCACAACAGAAAAGGTGTGCTTCCTGGGCCCCATCAGGTGACGTTCTTTAATGGAGGGTACATGAAGCATGCATGCTGTGTTGGATTTTATGAGGCAAGCAGAAATTATGCAAAAGTGATGATCTCTCAGATAGCCACACCATGAACGGCTTTGTAGATGATAACTGGCACCTTCAATTGCACCCAGAAGCTCACTGGTAACCATTACAGCTTGAGTAGCAGGGATATGCTCAAGTGCACCCTTAATTGCTTATGCTACTGTATTCTGAACTAGCTGTAGCTCCTGGGTGGTCTTCAAGGGCAGCTCTATTTAGAGCCATTGCAATAATCCACACGTGAGGTGACCAAGGCATGAGTGACTACGAGAAAGGACTTCCAACCCAGGAAATAGCACAATTTGGACACAGATCATTCTTTGTGAAGGCTTTCCTGGCCAAGTTGCCACTTGCTCACTAAACAGGAGCTATGAGTCCAGGAGTACTCTCAAATTGCGTGCCATTTCTGAATGGAGAAGTGCCACCCCATTCAGAACCAAAGCTGAAAAATCAGTGGCATCAGAAGAATCATGCACCCATGGCCACCCAGCCTTGTCATGGTGAGTTTAATCCTGTCCTCCCAGGCCCGAACAACCTCCAGAATTGGGATATGACCTCAATGTTATGTTATACAAAGTTATACAATGTTATGATGTATAGTTGAGTACCATTAACATACTGATGGTACCTGATCCCATGTCAACAGATGACTTTGCCCAAAGGTTCCGAGTAGATGTTAAGCAGAAAAGCTAAGAGCATTGAGCCCTGAGGAATCTCACAACCAAGTGGCTTCAAGCTAGACTTCTTGTCACCTGTCAACACTATTTGGAACTGACCTCAGAGAAAGAAAAACCACCCCAACACCATCACCCCTATTCCTAAAATCCATAGCTGGCCTAGAAGAATATCATGACTGATAGTATTGAAAGCTGTTGAGATATCAAGAAAAACCAAGAGAGTTGCACCAGCCCTGCCCCAGCTCCACCAGAAGTAACAAACAGGTGTGATCAATGCCAATTCCATATTCTGCCTTGGCCTGAAACCTAATTGAAATGAGTCCAGATAATTTGTTTTTTCCAGGCCCTCTGGAACATGGTAGTCTGACCATGTTCTCCACATTTACTGGATGAAAATTGTGTGGAATCATTGAATCCAATGATGGCTTCTTGAGGGCAGGCGGGCGCACCATTGCCTCCTTCAAGGCAAGTGGAACCATCCTTTCTCTCAAGAATGAATTTACTGTTGCATGGATTTAACTATGTGTCACCTCCTAGGAGACCAGGAGGAACATGGATTAAATAAGCAGGTGACTGGACAATGTGTCCTGTCCACTTCATCAAGAGTCACAGGGTCAAAAGTGACCCATTCCCTGCTGGGAAGGAGTCACAAGACTATCTAGGCATCTAATGGATAAAGTTGATTGGATCCACTGTAAGGTTCTGTTGATTTGGCCATGGCATGGGTTTGTTTTGTTATGTGGTAAGAGTTTGACCCTATGACTCTTGATGAAGTGGACAGGACACATTGTCCAGTCACCTGCTTATTTAATCCATGTTCCTCCTGGTCTCCTAGGAGGTGACACATAGTTAAATCCATGCAACAGTAAATTCATTCTTGAGAGAAAGGATGGTTCCACTTGCCTTGAAGGAGGCAATGGTGCACCCGCCTGCCCTCAAGAAGCCATCATTGGGTTCAATGATTCCAGACAATTTTCATCCAGAAAATGTGGTTGGCTATCTGTGGAGGCACTAAAAGTGGAAAAATAACTACATTTTGCCACTCTTATTCCCATGATATAATCCCTAATATGGGCTCTTACCCATGCTTGGGTGGGTTTGTTCTTCATTTTTTCCAACAGTGCTCTAGGAAGTCCCTCTTGTCTTTCATCTCCTGAAGCTCCTCAGAAAACCAAGGAGCAAGACATTGTACTTTATAGCCAGATTTCTTTCCCCAACAGTAGCAACCATGAGTGTAGATTATAGCCTGAGCTTCAATTTGTGCATGTTTGGGGGTGAGAAAATAATGGCTCACATGAGTCAAAAGGCTGTGAAAACAGATGAGGCAAGAAATCGATACACACTAGTTATGTAAATGGGAGAAATCAACCCAAGCAGTTCTTATACTTTCCTTTGTTTTAAACCGGGGAATGTAAAATAGACTTAGAAGATTTAAGGTTACGATCACATTTGTTGACTAAGTTCCCTGTGAAATTTATTATAAAGCTTCAAAATTCAAGCAGCAGAGGTGGGATGAAACAAGAGTTCTGATAGATTGGAAAACAGCCCCACCTCTAAACCCCACAAACCTTCAGGATCACAAATCACAAAGGAGAATTATTGCAATTTGAGTCAAGCTTCCAAATGTGCTAAAATAAAATTGGTTTGGCTATCCAAGGAGGGTGACATAGGTGTCAGTGTTATGGGGGGGGGGGGGCTCAGGGTCCCAAAGTGCATGTTGTTTCTTTTCAGCTTCTCTTCTCTTTCAAGGAAAAATTAAAGCTTTTTCTTTGGGTGCTTTCCCATTGAAAGGAAAAGTAATGTCCTTTTTTCAGTCAGTGTTGGTTATTGCTGGCAGAGAACTTGAGGTGGGAAGGAGGGGCAGAATTGTTTCTTTCTGCACATAAAGACGTCCAGCATACCTAGTTCCAAGAACTCCAAACTGCTGTCTGCACAAATACACCATCTGGCATTTTCCTGATAACATTATCAATAGGTCCTCAGCCATTCATTAGGAGGATATTAGGAGCAGATCGTACTGGCCTTTCATTTTCAGTTAGCCAAGTATTTGTTCATGTTCTGCCATTATTATGCCATCATGGCTACTTCAGCTGCCTTATAATGTTCTTGACATTTCCATTTTTTGCAGACAGCTCATCCAATTGTCCCTATTCCTGAAAACAAAGCACTCAGTTCTAAAGAGGTAAACCACTTTCCAGCTCTGAAAGCATGCAATGTTATGAATGAATATTAGTTTGGGTGTACTTTTACTGGTGCAAAAGCTAAGGGAAACAGGCTCTGGCTGGCAAAGGCCCCTTTATTCAATTAAGCCAATAAATTCATTTACACAAGTTAAATTTGTTAATCTGTCATTTTTTTAAAAAGTCATCTTCTGCTTGCATCACATGCACAAAATACATTAGTTTTTGTTTGTTGATCAACATTTCAAGGGACCATTTAGACTTTATTTGGTTCAGGACTGATTGACAGATTCTTCTCCCAGTCCATGTACTCTTAGTCTTCAAATCTGTACTATAATTCCAGCAAAAAGTAACATACTTTCTGCATGTGATGCAAGCAGATAAAAGTGCTTTTCTTGACCACCCCTCAAAACTATGCTAACAACAAGTCACTCGGTTGTGCTCACACAGTATCCTTTTAACATATGATTTCTTTTCAGCTTTCCTCTGTCAGAAGAAAAGACAAACTACCCTACCAAGAAGATCTAAGTGAAGGAAATTTTCTAGACGATGAAAGTCCGCACCAAAGAGGTCACTGTCCACTCAGGAGAGACCCAAGAAATAGTTTTGCAAAACTCAGCTAAGGTATAGTCATAATGATCTGACTTGTATGTACAGTGTAACAACTACTTCTTGTGGCCCCAGAGTAGCTCTCAGGCTTCTGGAATTGCTGTGCCTTAAATACCAGCTACAATGGAGAAAGAATCTCCATATCTGTGAGCTTCCTAAATGCATCGGGTTGGCTAATGTGCAACACAGCATGCTGGACAATGTGGACCAATACAGTGATAAATGTTAAGAAAGGTATTGTTTTTATTTTCTAAAAATTCTTGGGATCTTTGGAGGCCTGCTCAAATTAAAGAGGGTGCTGGAGGCTGGCATTTTGCTTTTTAATATTTTAGCTTTCTTTTTTAATACTAAGGTAATACTAAATATTACTTGAATATTATACATATTTCATGTTTTAAATGCTGAAATCCAGTAAAATAGGTAATGTGGAAGGTGGAAGGAGAGATGTCCATGAACACATTAGTACTCCTAGATACTATATTGGTGAACCTTAATTATATAACAATTCAGAGCTAGGTTATATAAGAGTAGCATCTGAGTCCAAGAGTGCATCCTGTCACATGGCAGAAGGATAGTGTGATATTCCTGCAGACCAGCACTGGTGCCCACTGTCTTCAACCTTCACTAATAGACTGTCCCATATAAACTTGTTTCACACATTATGCTAAGCACTGATTTGTTTTAATTGCAGTTTGGATAATTTGCGAGAAACAAGCCAGAATCAGTTGTTGGATGAGCAAAATATTCTTGTATTACTGGGCCAATTCCTGGCTTATTTTATCTTCTTTTTAGCAGTTCTTGCCTTACATCCTAATCTTAAACACCTTTCATTGTACTGAGCAGGGTGTATTTACTTAGTTTTGCCTTTTTAATAGAAAGACAGATACTACACGATGTTCTGTCTGGGAGCTAAAGCAGGTATTGTAGTTTCTTTTTTAGTTTAATCACTATTTTTATTTCAGATGCATTCAGTTAGGTTAATATATTGCCTTGCAGCTTAAAAAATATTTCATTCATGTATTACCATGTATTAAATAATACCACATTTCCTTCATATTCATTAGATATAGAACTTCTAATTCCACAAAAGGCCTAACTATGTGCTATAAGACATGAAGAGGGTGTTTTCCTGAGTGCATTTTTTAAAAATTTGAACCATTACAAATTCAAAACACCCTATTCTGTATTCAAAAGAGTTATTCTACATTCACAGCAGGATGTCCCTCTCATTTTGGAAGTGTTTAGAGGGCATATCCACATTGCACTCTTAAGCTGCTCCTGTCCTTTGTTCGTGCTGACATGACTCTAAGCTAGTTTATGAAACTCCTGTCCCGACTGAGATACTTTGGCAACAGCTTGCAAGGAATTCAATCCAGACTTCAGACTACCATGTCCTCCCGTTAGACCATTCCCTGCTACTGTGTCTTCCCAGGTCCTGGTCTCGGAAAACAATGGCCAATCACTTTTCTTCCTGAGGGCAGGTTTTATTGGAGATATATACTTTTATATATTTCTGGGTAGATACATACACGCATGTGTGTGCATGCACACACATATATACATATGCAAAGTTAAATTCAGTGTATATGTGCAAAGTCAAAACATCAAAAAACATTTATATTACATATATTATGAAGGTATGACAACCAGGTTTAAAATAAAAATTCCTTTCTTGCGACCCTGTTGGTCCTTAGCATCATCCCAAGATAAATTTAAGAAGAGTGCTGCAATAGCATAGCAGTTAGAGCACTTGCCTTGTCTAGAGAACGTCGCTGGTCTGAAGCCTGGCAGATTTTTAAAAATTACTATTTTTTTTTCCCTGAGCTACCCATTTTCACACTTGTTTTGCTTAGTACCCATCCCCCTCACACTCCAGCGACTGGAGAAATGATTAAACAGTGCACAGGTCAACTTATTAAAAGGCCAAGGCAGCTCAGAGAAAAAAAAATAGTAGTGTGCCTTAAAAAAACAACAGTAACAACAAAAGCAGCCGTGCTGTTCTTAAAAAGGAAGCAGGAAAGCAGTACTTCAGAAGGGCAGCAGAAAAATATACCTGGAAGTTGCCTTGTGCGCAGTGAGGGGTGAATACGGGGTGACATCATCTATTCCTGCCATCCAAAAATGGTTGCTGGCCTGTATTGGCAGTGGGACAATCTGAAGGTAAAGATAAGTTACAGAGCTGGTTTCAAGCTCAAAATGCTTCCAGAATGACTGAAAGAGCCCATTTTGAATATAAACCAGCTCTTTCCAATTTCAGACGGAGCAATGGTTTGAATTCAAAATGGCTTGTGCACCACTACTTTCCTGCCTAAAAGATTTATCTTTTATTTACTTCACTGTAGGAAACAGATCTGCCTGTACTGTACTCTGTTTTTTATGTTTTATCAGCCTGTTCAATCAGCGTGGAGAATGATGGACAGGATTCCAGATTGCATGAAAAATCCTGGCATTATGGAAATATAAGGAATGGCAAGACTGGTAGAAAACTCTTGTAATGTATAATAACATTGAGCGCGTACACAGAAAACCCGAGACATCTTTACAACGGCCCTGGCAAGCTAACCTCTATAACTGATTTAAAAACAACAACAACCCACAAGTCTGGATTAAAAAGGAGAAAAAAGTGACATCTCTATGCCTGAAACAGCCTGATTGCATCACAAATAGGAATCTGAACGAGCAAGGTAGTCCAGCTGAGAATGCATACTTGTTCTACATATTAGTTACAGTGTACGGTAATGTATTTTAGAGAAGATATACATCACTTTTCTACAATAGAAACGAAGCAAAAGAACCATTTGTCATAGCAGCAAAAGAAAGAATAAAAGGTAAATGCGATAGCCAAAAGCATTTGGATTGGACATTAAAAATAAATCCAGGCAAATAAAACTAATCTGCCTGGTTTTTCCAAACGGTCCTCTTGAGGACTGGATGTTTCCTAGGATCTTTTTTTATAAGAGGGAAAACTGTTTCGGTCATCCTGACCTGAGCCCTGGAAGGATGCAGAGGTGATTCTCTCCCTTATATTTTAGACAGCTGGCAGGAGAATAAAAGGTGAAATGTTCCTTTTTATAGCCTGGCCCCAGTCCATACAAGATTTTAAGGTAATCAAAAATACTATGTTGGATTATGCTCAGAACTGGTAGCCAGTATTGTCTATATGGTACAATTAGCATGCATTGTAAAATGGGTTAGGATGAAGATATAAGGTTGCTTATAGACTGTAGTATTTTACCATCATGCCATTCAGATTACCTTCTGGTACTTTATATGTTTCCATGGAATGAATTTGGCTGCTGAGGGTTTCTTTTGAAATGAAGATTTCAGACATATGGCGATGATCACAAACTAAGCCATCTTGAATGCTGTGAGATTTCCATCTGAATTAAAGGAGGCAGGAAAAAATAGTGTGACTGGAGCAAACATTTGCTGTGTTCAGAGGCATATCATTTCTAAATAAAGACTGTGTTCAAACTATTTTCCAATGTATTAGGTAGTTAGGTCTACCTTCAAATGTTAGTTTGGTGCAATGAATTTCTTTCTGATCACAAAAACGTTATATAGAACATTTACAGAAATGTTTGTATATAATATCTGAACTGCAAATATTTAAACTATAGTAGTGTGGAGATTTGCTTTCTGTATATAGGATATTCATTCTTCGTGATTCACATGAATGTGTATCTAGTTTTCTTTTTAGACATAATTTAGAATATGCAGATAATTACTTACCAGTCTGGCCCAATGCTGACACACAAGCCATGCTGAAATAAGCAGAAATGTTTCAACTTAACATTGCTTCTCTGTGTAAACTAAATATAAACTATTGTAATGAATTTGGTTGCTGAGCATATGTCAAGCAAGCTCAAAAATATGGGCAGACCCAAAGCCAGATGTGGATTGACTAAGGAAAATATTCATACCATCTCCCAAACTGTTGACTGAGTGTTTAATGTATGTAGTGAAGAAAATCATTTGTTTGAAAAAACCACATAACATTTTCAAAAAGAAATAAAATGAAACTATATTGTGCAAAGCATTTCTTGTTACACCTATTGATTACTGGTTAGAAGCATTGGCCAGCAATTCTCCTGCTTGAGCTTAGTTATCCAGGAGTTATTGCTGTAAGTCAGCCTCAGGTTGTGTATCCACTATCTTCTAGAAGTATTCACAAATGTCCAGCATTTTCTTCTTTTCTGTAAGGCTCATTTTTCCTGACAGTGTCCAAAAACTCATTCCTCTGTATTGTGGACACAATAATTTAGGACCTCTTCCAAAGCCTCATTCAGGCATTCTCCTTCAATAAACACATGAGGAAGAATCAAGTGCTGAACAATCCCTTCCCTAGTAGGACGCCCGTTACCCCTCCTTCCATTCCATACATTGGGAGAAACATGCAGAAAGAGCACAGCCAGAAGCACATAGGCTTTCCCTCAGTTCTGGAGCCCCACAACCAGAGAACACCTCATAGGGAACTAGATGTGCCACATTCCAGTGGGTAGACAGCAAGGTGTGGGACAGACAGGGATGTGTCACAACCCTGTTCTTACACTACTCATATTTGTGTAATGGGAACACCTGAATAAGAATATTACCTGAATAATTACTTCAGTATTACTCTTTTAACAACAGATATTTAAAATGGAGGTTGACCATAAGCAGAATATTTGGAAAAGGACTGCATTAGAACTAGAGATGAAACTTCTTTTGGTCTTCAGGTTAGAGAATGAATCTCCAGAATGGGAGGAGAATGGGGGAGTGGGAGAAATGTGCCCTGTTGTACAAATCTAACCCAAGGAAGAAAGCCTAGCTGCATTTCTTGCATTATTAAGCCAGTTTTGTATAGGAGTCAGGTGTCAGGTTCTTCTACTGTTGCTTGACATAATACCATCTAGGAAGTCTGTATCGCTTCATTTCATAGGCTAAATCAAGTAAGCAAGGGGACTACTAGAAATAAACCATCCTGTAATGATGCATATCTCTGCGTTTGGCTAATGGAGGGTGTGAAAATCAGTGGCAAAGAAATACATGTGATCTCTTGATGAAATTCCATTATTGACACATCATGAGTCACAAATCCAGGAATGTGCAGTTGGATCTGATCTGGCAGCTAAATCTAGTGCTCTGTTTGCCCAGACTGGCCAGATCATGTCCTGGGATGGGGCTTGAGAATGGGCTTAAGGAGAGAAATCCATCCTTTACATAATCAACAATGGCTCCTCATCGCCTCCAGCATGGAAATATGAAGGTCCTTTTTGTGCAGCAGGAGCTGTTCTTGCATGCGCTCCATCTGTAATTCCTGCAAATGCAGATTTCACTCTCCTGTCCCTTGAACGAAGGAAAAATTGGGGGAGAGCCTAGGAAGAAGAGGCTTTGAAGGGGCCAGAGCAAGGACCTTGCTTGAGGCTTCACTGCCCAACATGCTAGATTAGATATGATGATCAGCCCAAGATCTGGAATGTGACATGTTGGCAAAGGCTGGATTAACTTAATTTAAGGATACTGTTTCATGCAACATACAAAAGTGAAGATGCTGGAATTTATGTGTATTGTGGGGGTCACTATATATTCCATACTACCAAGTTGCAAATGTTTATTCTTTACCAGTAGAAATCATAGTAAAAAAAGTGATCATCTTAGTACTTTCTTAAAACAATATAGCTTCCATGAAAAATAATGTAATGTGCATTTGACATGCCTCTAGCATGCTTATATTCTCTTAGCCCTCATTTTGTAATGACCTATATTTTCTTGCTCCTTACTAATATATCAGGAATAGCTTATTTAGGAGAGATGATATCACCAATGATATGGTGATATGAAGGCCAGGCAAAATTGTATGAAACCTGACAGGACTTCTTGGGAAAAAAAGCATGGAAAGGTCAACTGTGCTGTGCAGCTGCTGTTAAAAAAGACACATCCTAACAGATAGAGAACAACTCTGTCATGCAACTATATTTAGAATATTCTGGTCATGGCAGTTTAAAAAGACTTTTGTAGAACTGAAAAAAGAACATTGAAAAGGGCAACCTCAAAACACTGAAGCAATTTCCTTGCAAAGGAAGACCACAATATCTGGCTCTATTTTAGTTTAATAGGGTGGGGATTTGATAGAGCTATAACAAGCTAACACAGGAGTGAGGAACCACTGGCTTTCCAGATATTTCTTAAAAACTTATCAGTAGTCAAGGATGATGGGTGATGTACTTTAATAATATTGGCAGAGTTACAAATTTCTTGCCCTTGTAATAAAACTTAAGTAGGAGAATGTGGGTTGATCAGAGAAAGATGCAGTTTTCTTCTCTCTCTGTAAAGCAGAGTTCCTATCAAGTTATCTTTTTCCAGGATTTAGCAAAACAAATGGAAGATCCTTCCTTCCTTCCTTCCTTCCTTCCTTCCTTCCTTCCTTCCTTCCTTCCTTCCTTCCTTCCTTCCTTCCTTCCTTCCTTCCTTCCTTCCTCTTCAAGATGTCTTTCCTCCTTGGGCAGGGCTTCTGAGAGGATGGGAGCATAAACAGAATTTGGTGGAGGCAAGACAGCATCTGGGGCAGTCAGGGAAACCAAAGGTGAAAAGAAGAAGCTAGAACAGGGTTCCTCAACCTCAGTAAATTTAAGATGGGTGGACTTCAACAGTTG